CCCACAAAATATTCGATTCGGATTAAGCACGACAAGGTTTACATCTACGTCAATGATGAATGCGTGCTCTCAAAAACTCTACCATGGCTCGTTGGACTCCGCTTTATCCGTTGTGCTGGAGTTGCGTTTAGCGAGCTGCCCTCAAGTACAAATGAAGCCACACTGCTTCTCAAGAGTATGAGATGGCATTAGACCGGCGGTACAGTTGATGCAACTAACTCCCGATGACAGACCGCAACCAGCAAGAGGAGATGCTATAATTCTTCTTACGATGAGTGTCATGGAAGACCATTACTGCTTTTGAACTGATCTATTTGCCTGGGTTGCGGCCTTCTCCCGTCTCTTCTATGCATGTGTAGTTGCTTCTGAAGTATTCATTAATGAAAGAGTCTGTAAAACCGAGAAGGAAAAATAGTATCATATATCCAGCTCATTAAAACCAATGATAGAGAACGGAGTGAAGGTTTCTTGAGATACAACCTTTATTTTGAAAGCGTTGTCATAGTGGAACATAATAGTTCCCATTGCTCATTTTTGTTTCGTCCTTTCCTGATCGCAGGGTGAGTTGTTTCGCTTTCATGAGCTAGTCGGAAATTCTGTATTATACATGAGATTTGTCAGTTTAGCGTTTTGCGAGGTTCAGAGCAGGAATCGTCGCGTCGTGGTTGATCGCTGATGAAAACATCTCCTCGACACAGATGAGCTGTTGCGCCCATCGTCGACGAATTGCATGGTTCAGTGGGATCTGGCGCCGAAAAGGAATTAATACCTAGTTAACTATGAAGCACTTTCTGACGCGCTTTGCATGTTGGATATCGCTACTACATATACTAACGTTGTCCGTAAAGTCGCGAAAATACGTGTTTTGGCCGCGAGTTTGCTCGGATTTTCTGATTGCAAAATTTTCAGACAACGAGTTTTGCAAAACTCACAGCATACCGAAAACTCCGGACATGTGAGTTTTCCACGAGTTTTCGCATCCGTCTGATTACTGTACGGCAGTGCCGGATCGACCCGTCTTGAAGGAAAACGAAGTGGGGTTTCCGCTCTCTCATCAGCACAAACGAGTCTCATACTGCACGGTTCGTACCGGTTTGCGTCATGGACGCCCCTATCACTTCATCTAACCAGAGTCCATCAACGGATCGAAGCACCACAAGATCTGCCACATATGCCGCTAAAGCAATCGCAGAAGACAGACAAGTAGAAGCTTCTAAAAAGCGGTCCTCTCTAAACGGCCCCCCTCAGCCCGTCAAGAAGACGAAACACATCGCCCTTTCGACTGAGGCCTATTCTATCCTTGTGGCGAGCTACAATATTTGCTTCAGCGAGTATTTGCCCAGGTGCACGTGATCCGTCGGACGGCACAACGATGTACCAGACTTGCGTTTGTTGCGGGCAGGTACCTTGCTGGAGGTCAGTCCGCAAAACTCGTGGGATTTTTCAAACTCGGGTTTACTTTACGTCCAGCGAGTTTGTGGGCAAATGGAAAAAAACAACGCGTTATTTTACGGACAACGTTACTGTACACCTCCCCCCCGGCATGTCTCCTGGCCTGGAGGCCCCCCCTTTTACCACATTGCATACAGTATGCCATGGCATATCAAAAAGTAGCCACAAGATCTGAGTTTCTATTGGACCGTCGTCTTCAGATATGACGTTACTTTTAAACCAATTTTTTCTGGACTTTTGCTTTCTATAAGAACGGAAAGATACCCTCGCCACTGTACTTGATTTTTGCGTTGCGGAAGGAAAGGTTTTGGTGGGAACTACTTGTCCTTCCTGGTCCGTTTTAGAAATGCCTGTAAAAGAAGTCTTTTTTGCAACCTTGAAACGCTTTGCAAAATTACTTCGAAACCAGAACGCTCGTTTAAAAAAGCGGGTCGCGTAGAGTTTAAACCTAACCAGATTCTTTGTCTTTCGGCGTATTCAAACTGCAATCCGGTGTTCTTTGAGATATGATAATTGACTAAAGCAGTGGTTGGTGTCGGAAATGACTTTCTAGATTTGCAATATCAAGTATATATTTTTGCAAAGAAGGGCTGGTCTCACGTGAGGAAAGACCCCAGTCGGGTAAACGCTCTAGACCGAACGTAACAGTCGTACTGTAATCTACCGGAAAAAAGGTGGAGTCGTGGTTATTGAATCACATCGGTGGAGAAAGGTGAAGATGAGTGCCTCAGGTCCGTATTGAATACATGTAATATATATAATCGTAATAGTTTACAGGCAACGCGGCCGCAGTGGGAACTTCTCTGAGAAATCTGGATATGCAAACAGTCAGTTCAGAATAGTGTATTTGCAATGTTTTGTGGCCAATTTAGTTAGTTATGCTTGGATGAGAAGATTGGATTGCTCCGGAGAAGAGGCGCTTCTCTATACTGCAGTGTCACCGTCTATGTCATCTCACTTCACCTTGTATCCAAGCATGTTGCTGTTGTTGCTGTATGAAGCATAAGTGAAAAGTGTGTTACAGTACTGTATGAGCGCAGTGTTGGTGACTCGGCTCTTACACCACGCATTGTGCAATAGTCTTGTTCCAAGACAAGCGAGCGACTAGTGTATTTGGGAGCACTGAGTTGGAAAGAGTGTTTCATAACACAAGGTTCCCATTTAACGTCGCGAAGTGTCCTGCGACATGAAATCAGGCCTGGAGGTGGCGCTTTGGCATGGATTCGGTCACATGCAAATCTCGAGAGGAAGTGTTTCGGCAACGACGCATGTGGGGGCTTAGTTCCGGAACCAATAAGATTTGATAGATGTTGTTGTACCGTCTTGTGAGGCGAAGGCAAACCCACCTGCGAAAGTCATCCAAGTTGCTGCTTTCTCCCCTGTGACAGTTATTTTGAGCCCTTTTTCTTGCGAAGTTCGTGTTAATGAGCAAAGAGCCATCAACACGCTTCTAGTCATCTGAGTTCTGGTGTTCTCCTGGCTGGTGAAGCCCTACGCCGGGTGAAGCCCTACGCCAGTCTAAAAAAACCATAAGCATGCGAAGAAAGCACAACAACAATCCGACAGTCACTGAGGGGCGTTCTAGGTGTTTTGGAAAGTCGGAAATTTGGAAATTTGGAAACTTGTCATACGCCACATATCCAATAAGCGCCTGCTACGTTGCCACGTGTGTTTCCACTTTTCCATAATGTGTTTTCGTGTAGGGGAAATCCGGAATTTCCCCTACACGAAAACGGATGAAACGGCAATCGAAGTCCCGCCAAATAAGAGAGTCAACAATGCCCGTCCCCTCTCGTTCCCTTCCTCCCCAGTGCCGTTCCCGTCCCCTCCAGTCCCGTTCTCCTTCACTTTGCCAACTTCGCGCACATCGCACGCGCCTTTTGCCTCTCTGTCGACCTGACGTCCGCCTGCTGCGCAAGAACCCCGACTTCATGGCCGGCTGGGTCGATTTCCGCCTCCTGTCCTCGCGCTTCCCCTTCCCATCCTGGGCCATTTCCTGGGCAGAGCTGCGTGGAGGCTACCTGCTCGCCAGCGACCACACCGCCTTCTACGCCGCGCCCCCAGACACAGGCCCGTCTACTACATCTTCCACGCCACCCGCTGTGCCATCGCTTACACACCGGCCCGCTCCAGTGCCGTTAAGTTTCGCCTCTGAGGCGCCTCCATCAGGCAGCCGGGCCTCCATACACATCTCGACGGCGCAGAGCTCATGATGGATCCAGATGACTTTAAGAGGATGTCAGAGAGGTCCAATACCAAGACCTTCACCATGTCCATCCGGCGCCGCTGTGGCCGCGCTATGGGATTGGGGAGAAGCTCGCTTCCCGGCTAATCGCGACCTAAAGCCGGAAAACGCACAAGGATGGGACCACAGAGGGGGAGAGAGGGGGGATGTCGGCTGGCCAGACGGACGCTCGCGGTGTTCATTTTGTTACACGTTTTGATGGAGGAGCGGGGCGGCATGGCGAGCGAGAGTCGCGGCAGCAGTGGGCGCGAAGGCCGTGCGGTGAGAGGGGGACGGCCCGTGCAAAAAGGGCGACAGCGTTGGGGCGGCGGCAGCAGCGCTCCCCGCGCGGGAGATGAAGGCGGCAGGACGTTGGAAGGTTTGGAAAAGCAGAAGGTGCCATCCCCATGTACACGCAGCTTCTAAAATCCGATTCGCTTGCGGAAACATTTACAGACAAAGGAGTACAGTGAAATCTCTCCACTACTAATGGGGTACCTGAAAGCTCTGTCATCAGAGTTTTCACAGTGTCTGCGTAAAGAATGATCTCGTCTTCGTCCGAAGCTTCACGTTGCATTTTTTGCTTGGGAAATGGCGGTTAGGAGTGCCTGTGTGGACCGGCCCCGAGCCTCGGAGGCCTCGTATTTAGCTTCATCTCCCTCCGCGGACTCAGTTTCCTCGGCTACTCGAGGGCAGTGCGGCATGAAAACAGAAGATAACGATTCCATGCCAACTATATTTATTTCTTGGGTTTCCCTTCTTCTTTTTCGCCCCAACCCTGGCTCAGGACTGACTCCATCTCCCACACCCTCTTGTCGTGGCGAATTTCGTTGCAAAGCGCGCGTCGCCAGCGGTTGCAACACCGAGTGAGCTTGTAAAAAGCAAAACGCGTACATAATATAGTTTTTTCCGCCGGCAAAGTAAACAAAGTCCTCACTGTCTCCTTGACCAGATGCCTCAAATCGTGAGAGACATGTTCCATATAGTGACTTGAACTCCCCGAATTTTTTCTTAAGTACGCCGCTATTTCGTAGGCATGTTGTTCTTGCCGGATTAATTCCGGAAATATCTGCAGTCGTGACCCCTCCCGCCAATCCACGAAAGGCGGTACGCTGGAACGTAGCATCATTGAAACGGGGGGCGATACTGTCGGTCCAAACATCCACCGCCTCGCTGTACAGTGGTGCTCGCGTCCTCGACTCCATGAGCATAGACCTGGTCGTTGTCATGCGATTGTCATTTATCACATGAAGAAGACGGCAAAATTCGCTTGCTTCGGAATCAGGTTCCCTTTGCCGTGTCCCATCTTGTTAGCGATATTCCCTCAGTAGAGGTAAACCAAGTAAAACGTTTTCATCTTCTAAAACTGGTATGTCTCCACGACTCCAATGAAGTACTTACGCTCCATTAGATTCCTTCACTACCTTTACGGTTGTCGAAGGGATCTAGGAAAGGGCATGGGCAGCAGGGGAGAGAAAGTTGCTCTCGCTTTCTGTGTGGTCCGCCAATTCAAATGCTGTATTTATGCAAAACCCTCTTTGAACCATCTTGAAGGCGATGGCCTTCCTTTTCGATGGGAGTCTGACATTTGAAAGTCCTGATACTTTAATTGCCCTCAGAATCTTTTTGCAGCTTGTATTGTCTATCAGCGACCATCGTATTAAATTAATTGCCTCTGCCACTTGGTTCGGGATTGTAGACCGTGCCAATGATGGCGTCGGTGGCAAAAATATCTCCTCCTCATCTGGAAGGATGACGGCCCCAGGAGTTGCGCTTAAAGAATTAACAATGCTGCAGTCTTCATGCGTAGCCAGACGTTCCTCTGAGTGGCAAATCTCATCCCCGCTTGGCATTTGAATGCCTTTTTCAAAGACCTATGGCTGGGCGCGTCGCGGCTCGCAAGAGGCTAGCTAGATGCGTTAAAGGGCAGCAACGAGCGGGCGACGGGGGAAGGGAGTAGTGGGCAGAGTTGCAGGCGTCGTGGAGGACGGCTCTCGGGGGCGGAGGTTTCAGCCGGTTAGGATGAGGGCGAGAGCGGAGGCGGCGACGTAGAGAGTGCTGTCCGAAGTGGTCTGGAGGTGGAGGTCCGGGGCAGCGACGTAGAGGCCGCGAACGATGGCGAAGAGTGCGCACGAGAGCGGGAGCGGCGTACAGAGGGAGGGCGGATGGGAGGGAGGGGGAGGGAGGGAGGGAACGGGGAGGGAACGGGGAGGGAGGTCGAAGGATGGCGGGGGGCGAGGGAATTGTTATGCAAATCAGTGTAAATTTATCCACGTGCAGCGCATCCGAATCCCCAATTCTAAATGCTTCAATTCTGCACGTGTACACGTGCCATGTCGCACAAGATATGGACTTGTACCGCCGCATGTCGGCGCAACTGCCAGCTCCTGGGGTCTCGAACGGCGCTCCGGAAACTGCGCGTACTGCGCGCCCCCCGACGCGCCGATCGGCGGCCTGAGCAACACGAGTTCGGACGCTGAGAGATCCATGCTAGGTGGAGCGAGGCGGGGGAAAGAGTAGGGGGGAGAGGGCCCAGAGTCGCCAATGATGGCGGGGACGCGCGGGTGGTGGGGGGTAAGGAAGGAGTGGTTGGGGTGGGAACCGAATGGGGAGTGAAAAAGAAATGGTGGGGGTGAGGAACGAATGTTGGAGGTGAGGAAAAAATGGTGCCCGCACTACACGCCCGGCCCCGCCTGCACGCCATCCCTCTTGTCGCGGTCGACGGCAACAGCAATCCCGTCGAAGGCGTCTCCGTCGTCACAAGAGTCGACCTGATCACCCGCGTCCTTGGCATGAAGCGGGCGACAGTTTTAAATGGACTGCAGAGGGCTCCGCTTCCCATACAGCCCTCGGTATTTTCGAGTCTGCAGACGTTCAGGTTAAATCCGTTTCCGTCGAGCGCGTCGAGCTTGTCCTTAACATCAAAAAACGCCCGAATTGCCACGTGGAACCGGACGCTGGCATCACTTCAGACGGGCGCATGTAACTCAGTCGCGGAGAGCGTCCAGGCGAACCCGTCAGAACGCAGCACGCCGGATACGTCCATTTTTCAAACTGTCCTGCAAAGCAGTATCGCACACATGACGCGCTTCCCTATCGACTGTCCTCGGTCTGGTCATGTGCTCGCCGTGGAGAGCTCAATCGAGAAGAAATTTAATAAGGCCGGCAAGATTTTTCGGAACACAGTTCTCTGGCTCGCACAATACGTGGGGGTGGGGCCATATCCCTAGTATTCTGTTCTTATGTTCACTAAAGTGAACATAACTATTTACACCCATGTTGTTCGGCCAATATCTGGCCTCAAACAAAATCTCCTTGCCGTAGTCATTCTCTCCTTTACTGCGTATATCCTTTGAAGATTGGCGGATGCTAAGAGATCAAAAGAAGCACACCAAATGTTCACTGAAAGTTTGCACGTTTGGTCTTCTTTTAACCCGACAAAAAGTCTTATGTTCACAAAATTGATCATAAAAATGTGAAATATGCCTCCAATAGACAGTATTTATTTACAGTAGGCATGTCTACAATGATGGTCTACATCTGCGAATGGTGATACGCTCTCCGTTTTGTTCAGACGAATCTCTTCGATGCTTCGAAGATGTGGGCGTCTTTGGCACAACTCTGGGCTCTACATCGCGACTTGAGTGCTATAAATCCCAGCAGTTTTTGCATATCCCTGGATGCAATCTGACGCATAGATGAACTGCACAGAACTTGCATTTGAATGTTGACCGGTGTGGTGCATAGGTGCTTGATGCACGCTCGGTTCCACACAAGCCACAAAAAACAGGAGGACGGCACTGTATTTGTTCATGGGAGCGTGTTGAGAGACGTAGCTTTCTTCCCTCTCTTCTATTAGAAAAGGCCATTCTGTTACGCTTGCACTTTTGGGCTAGAGAGCGCAATGCTTCAAACTCTCGATCACTGACCACTCCAGTATCTTCGTCATGGACAGCAGCATTCAATTGACTGTCAAGTTGATCAGCATAAATTAGTAAACCCTGAGCACTGTCAATTGCAAATTCAGCCAACGACTGCACTGAATTCAGTGCATTTCTAAAACTCTCTAGGCTATTGAATGACTCTGTTGTCTGCAGCCTTGACCGCCTCTCAGACATCCTCCAAGTTATTAAAAAATTGACAAACAGTGTGTTGAGGGTTTGTGTGACGACCTTTTCGTTCCTATTGAAGCGATGATGTCGGGGAGCGTAGAATGGCTCTGGCCTGAGCGCTACCATCCACCCCCCCTTTCGTTTTAGAATAAAAGCTCTGTGTCCCATGTTTAAAAGGCTTTAAAAGGTGGGAACAAATGTTTCGTAGTAATGAAAGAGTTAATGGTCTTCCAGAAAGGAAAGTGTGCTTTGATTTTTCTTCTGGTAGATCCATCCGCAAACGACGGGATTAAACTGTCACTGTTATCAGCCCAAGACACCAAAGGTGCTGAGATACGGCTCAGGAGCGATAGAAAAGAATCCAATGTAGATTGCTCACACTTAGTTATAACTGTACGCAGCAAACCTGTCTCAGACGCCGCAACATAAATTCCGTACTGCGTCTTCACAATACACAACTGTAATAGAACTTGAAAAACGAGCTCTTCTGGAATAAACTCCCTGAAACAAGCATCACCAACAGAACAGTAAATTACGTCGGGAGTCGAATGCAGTAAATTATTTTGCAGACTAGAATCTGCAACACTCGTCTTGATTTCAATACAGGCTAATGATGCGGAGCCATCAATCTCTTCATTGAATTCAAATGGTGTCTGCTGTAAATCCAAAAGGGCAATGCCATCAGGTGAGCATGCGATCCAGCTGAACAGGTTGCTGGCCAGCATGCCAACTTCAAAAACCGCTTTTATAAATGCCTTGTTTTGCAGTGAACTCAAAACTGCCTCTTCGTTTGCAGTACCTCGCTTCATGTGTTCTGTAAACCTACTAGAGCTGAACCACCCAGAAGCCAAAGAAGAAATAAGTTCTTTGGGTGTTGGTAGTTCTGTTTGTGGTAATACAGTAAACCCAATGAGTTCTCGAGCTCTTGCATCCTTTTGAACTAACATAGCCGCATTTGTCCCGGTTATTCGAAACTGTCTCAGTATGAACCATTCTGCACAACGTTGGTCCACAGTTAATACTGTGCAACTATTCCAAAGCTTGTATTCAGCTTTATCCCTCAAATTGTCAGACCCTTCTGCTGGCAGAGCAATCTGACCTGACGAAGTGCGATTTCTGAATAAATGAAGCCCTGAAAGTTTTGAAGTTTTAGGGACAGCAATCCAAGTGTTGAGTTTTTGTTGAAGGAGAGTTGGGATAGAGAACAAGAACCGAATGACCTTGCTAGATTTTTCTGTACCTCGCTCTCTCAAGGCAACGGCTGCTACACTTCTTCTCGGACCACCTCTTGCAGTACGTAAAAACTTATTTGCCATCTTAGCACAGGGGCCTACGTCAGGCCCGTCTTCTATAATAAACTTTTTCGGACGATCCAGTACTGTAAACGCCGATTGGGACGCATCAACGGCAGCATGCGAGTCACCCTCGGCAATTATTTCGGAACCATTCACTATTTCTGGCAACT